AACTTGGGCAGAAGTGAGTCTGGGGGTGCCGCTGCCAGACCACCCCCCTCCCTGACTCACTCTGTTCTCAGCAGTAGCAGCTGTTGCTTTAGGACTCGCCCCCCTCTCCCGCCCTCCACAACAGCCTGCCCCACCCGGCCCCCACCCACCCATTGGTGACCCCACCCGGCCTTCCCCTGCCTAGGACAGTCAGTGTCGTCATGGCGACGGGAGCCTGAGGGGCTCTGACTTTGCATCTCCACCTCCCCCCCCACCCCCCCCCCCCCCCCCCCCCCCCCCCCCCCCCCCCCGTCAGCTCCCCTTTTCCAAATCTCCCTGTTCCCATGGCAACAGATTCTCCAAATATCTGTCCCCACCTGGAGCCGGCCCAGGGAGGGGCCCCCAGCACCACCTCCGCGGTGGCCCAGCCGTCAGAGCTCCCTCCCCACCGCAGGCTGTGTCTCTGCCACACCCCCCGCCCCGGGCTCCCCCGCGCCTCTCTGGGGACCAGAGAACACGTGTGTCGAGCATCCCCGGCTGTGGGGCCCCAGCCTCCACCCTCCTGAGGGTCCCAGGAGTCCAGGCCTCCAGCTCTTACCTTGACATTGCAGGCCCTGTTTTCCAATCCCCCTGCAAGGAGAGTCAAGGATCTGAGGTCAGCGCAGGAGAGGGTACCTGGACCCCTCACCCCTGCCAGCCGTGGGAGGCAAGCGTCCTTCAACACTCCTCCCGCAGGACCCAGGAGTCTGAGCCCCAGCTGCCTCTTCCTTCTGGAACCTAGAAATTCTCGCTCCCAGCCCCCTTCTCCCTCAGACCGGGGAGCCCAGGACCCCACCCCCTCCTCCCTCTGACTCAGGAGTCCAGGCCCCCAGCCCCCTCCTACCCTAGGACCAGGAGCCAGGGCTGCAGCCCCCTCTTCCTCCCCGCTCAGGTGTGCGGTGTGACAGGAGTCTCTACCCCTCGGCTCCTCAGCCCTCAGGCCCCCAACCCCCTTCCCTCACCAGATGAAGTCAGTGCAGTGGCTGCAGAAGGTTGGCTGCTTGAAGAAGCGAGCGGTGAACTTGTGGCTCTTGACTTCGTGGACCACCTTCTGCCTCAGAGCCCCCTTTCTGCAAAAGAGGGGCCGGGGTCCCCCCTCCGAATCGCCTCCGCCGGGGCCCAGGCCTGACATGGCCCCAGGAACGTAGCAGGGACCAGGATCCTGCCTTTCTGGGGAAACAGGTGGAAGGGCGAAGGAGCCGGAGACTCGGGAGAGCAAACGAGCCACCGGGAGATTCTGAGGTGGGAAGGAGAGGGGCGAGGCACCTCCAGGAGCGGTGCGCGCGCGGCAGGGAGCAGCACCCCGGGGCGCGCCCGCTCCGCCAGGGGGAGCGGGCGAGTGGGGCGGAGAGCCGGAGGCACGGGCGGTGGCGTTGGGAGCTCCAGCTCAGGCACCTGCTGAAATGTGGGAGCCCCGACTGGGGGGAGGCGTTGCCATGACGACCGAAGGGCGGGGTTTCGGCTTAAAGGCGTCCCCCCTCCCTGAACACGGGACAAATGCCCTCCCCCCCACACACACGTGCACATACCCACTCCAGGGGCTGGCTGGAGGGAGGGGACATCCTCTGAGCTGTGCCCTCCCCCACCTCAATCTGTCTGCTGGCCCCATCTTCCTTCCCCACTAGGGTGCCGCCGTGGGTCCTGTTAGCCCACTGCGACCCCTCTCGGATCTCTGTGTCTCTGACTGTGTCACTCTCTTTCATTCCACAAACTTTGTCTTCAGTGCTGGGGATCCAGTGGTGACCAGGGGGGCTTGGTGTCTCCCTTTCTCTGATGCCCTCCGAGTCTTGACTTCTCTCTCTGGGCCTCGGTGAATGTGTATGTCTCTGTCTCCCTCTGGGAGGATCTCTTTCTCCTGGTCTCTGTTCCTCTCCCTGTATTCCTGGCTCGCTCTCTGTGTCTCTGTTTCTGCCTCTGGGTGGATTTGGCATTCCTTTCCTGGTCTCTGAAAATTTCTGTTTCTATTTCTCTGTTTTCTTCGCTGTGTGTCTCCATCTCCACGTATCACTCATCCTGCGACCCTCTCTGGGTCTTGGTGTCTCTCTCTCTGACAGATGTCTGTCTCACCGTGAATCAGTCTCCCTCTGTCCCTCCCTGTATGTCTCATAAATTCTTGCGCTTCTGTCTCCCTGAATCTCTCCTCTCCCTGTCTCTATTTGTCTCTCTGGCTCTTTGACTCTCTCTCTCTCAATCAGATTGTGACTCTGTGGGTCTCTGTCTCTCTCTCTGTGTCTTTCTCTTTGGGAGTCAATCTCTGTCTGTCTTTCTCTTTCTCTATGTCTGTCCTCTTCTATTTCTCTCTCTCTGGGGGTCCTTCTCTAAATCCTTGCTGTCTCTCCCTCTCTCTCTCCCTGTGTCCCTGTCTCTGTAAATGTCTGTGCCTGTCCCTCTCTCTGACCCGCTCTCTGGCTCTGTCAATCTCTCCCTCTGTCGCTGGGGGTCTCTCTGAATGTTCGAGTTGCTCCGTCTGCCCCACCCCCATCTTTGTCCCTTTCTCACCCACTCTCTATTTGCCTCTCTGGCTCTATGAATCTCTCTCTCTGTTCTGGGGGTCTCTCCCTCCCTCCACGTCTCCCTGTGATTCAGTCTCTGTCCTTCTCCCCAGGTGTCTCTCTGGCTCTGGAATTCCCCGTCTGCGCAGCTCTGTCCCGGGTTGGGAGGGTGTCTCGGACGCTGGCCCTGTCCGTCTCCCTCCGTGTCTCCCCTGCGTCGCTCCACCAGCGTCTCTGCCTCTCCGGTTGGACTCCCTCCCTCCCCCCGCTCTCGAGCTCTTCCCAGTCCGAGCTCCTGGGAGACCCGCTCTGTTGCCAAGGGCAACCACGGCCCGCTCGGGGCTGAGGGGTGCAATGCATCCTGGGACTTGTAGTCTGAGCCTGCGGACCGCCTGTTCTCGCGACGCGTCCGAGAACTTCCTCTCCCGGCGTACCGCGCGAGGCGGGGCGGGGCGCTGCGGCGGCGCCTGGGGACTCGGGAAGCCCACCGTGCCTTCTCTGAGACCTGTTGGGGTCGGGGTCAGGTTTCCAGAAGCTGTAGGGGAGGTGAGAGATCCAACTCCGCTCTTAACCCCCAAACGTGGAGTCCTCTAGCCTTCTAGCCACCTCCCGGCGTCCGCCATGCTCTAGGGCAGAGGCTAGGGGGCGGGGGTTGCCCCGAAAACAGACCTAGGAATCCCAGGGCGCTCTAGTCCTCCTCTGCTTGGGTTCTTCCCCGAGTCACCAACTTATCACCCCCAGGTTCTAGAGCTGTTCTCTCTCATGCCTTCCAGGAGGGATTCAAGCGTGGGACGGGAGAGGGAAGGGGGTCGAGACGCCCTTTGAGGAAGCAGGGATTGGTGCAGGTCAGAATTCTGGGGTGGACACAGCGGAGATCAAAAGGAGGCTTTTCCTCACTGAGAAGGAGCGCGTCTGTTCTGGTTAGCCCTTCTCCCTCTTCCGGAGGGATCCTTCCCTCCCTTGCAATATCTCTTCCCGATTGCTTTTGCGGGTGTAGGTGCAGAGAATGGGTTGCATGATCCTGGGATTTTCCCGGGTTTATGTATTTATGTGTTTGTGATTCTCCTCAGGCTGGAGAAACTGGCAAGATGACCTTCTGTGGGACAGATTTATTATAGGAGTAATTCGTTTGATCTTTACCAAGGTCTTCTGTTGAGCAGGGGTGTCAGGGAGCTCAGAGTGGGAATGTAGGCAGGGTCAGATCCTGAAGGCCTTGAATGCCAGACTGAGGGGCTTTGGTTTTTACGTATGGGCAAGGTGGAGTGGGATATGCAAAGACTTGAGCCGGGGAGGGCAGTATCAGACCTGGATGTTGGAAGCATCCCTCTGGGGCCAGGGTGGGCTGGAGGTAGGATGGTCACGAAGGCGGCTGGGGCAATAACTCAGGTGAAACAAAATGAAACCTGAGCTGTGTGAGGAACCTGGAGAAGGGGACAAATATAAACAGTATTTAGGAGGAAGAGTAGACAGTGTTTGATGAGCGACTGACTGACAGAGAGGAGACTGACAGAGAACAAGTGTCTGGGCTCTCAGCCCTGAGAGTCTATTACTAAGATGGGGAACCTGGAAGAGTTGATTTTGGAGCAAAGATGCTGCACTCAGACTGGGACATTGTATTTCTGAGGTGCTCATGGGACTGCAAGGAGGGAGAAATCTTGTTCATTTCTATCCTAACTACCTCTCCTGGTTTGACAGAGTAATTTGGAAGATCCAGACTCAGCTAGCATTTTCTGATGAGGCAAAGTTTTCTTGGCCCCAATTCCCCTTCTCCTATCAGACCCAGGAATCTGGGCCTTGCCCCCCTCTCTCCTGGAGTCCTCCCCCATAATAAAGCAAGCACAAGTCTTTCTTTTATCTTTATATTGAGGTAAAAAAAAAAAAATTATAGATGTGGGACTGGGGAAAGGGACAGGTTTCCCTCTATGATTGACAGCAGGGGCTAATCTAATGGGAACCAGAAGCTCCAGGGAATTAAAAAAAAATAAAATATATATTTATACATTTATATATCACGTTATGTGTGTGAGTCCCAGAGAAGCAGGAAGCAGCAGCAGGAAGCAACTAGCACACAGAAACACACATGTTTGTGCAGCACACACTCAAGCAATACAATTCTCTGGCTATGGCAGCAGCAATCCCCAACCACCCCCCCCCCCAAAAAAAAGGAAAACAAACTTCCCCTTTCAGGATAGAGCCACCCAGTAATTTCTGCCCTTGTGACCAGGAAAAAGAAAAGAAAAAAACCCAGGCTAACGTTGCCTGTGCGGCCGGCAGTGGCCATTTTCTTCTCCGTGTGGAGGCAGGACATGCTATTTTTAACACTGAAGCTGAAGGACCACATCACTGCCCCTCCCACTAATACTTCAGACAGTTGTCTTCAAGACAATGCGGTTCTTTGCCAGATCCTTTTTGATACCCCAGAGGGTAGCTGGGATGGAAGGCATCTACCCTGTGCTTCTTTTAAGATGGCCTCCAGGCAGTGGGTTTTTGGTGAGCCTGGCAGAAATTCTGGAGCCAATCTCAGGCGAGGCTGAGCACCAGGCGGAGCCTAGGGACCCAGGGTCTGTGCTTTAAGCCTCCGCCCACTGGAAATGATTGACCTCCAGAGACTTTCTTTTAACTTAAAGAGGAGGTGCACTGTACACCCCCCCTCCACTGGGAGAACAGGGGCCCAATCCCTAGCTACCCACCCCACCCCCAAACACATACACACACACCCACTAAGGCACAGCCAGGGCGGGCAGGCATGCTTTGGCAATGAGGCCCCTCGGGAGGCCTAGGGCATGAACAGCTGCGAAGAGGGGTGTATGGGATGTGGAGCTCAGCACCTTTGGAGGTGGGGCAGGAGAAGAAAGAAGTCGCAGGGCTCCCGAGGAAATCGGAAGAAGGAACATGGGAACAGATGGTCAAGAAACAGGCAGATGAGAAAACAAACAGGACGATCAGAAAAGAGCCGAAAAGCACAGGTAGAAAGCAAGACAGCAGAAAAAGAGGCAAAATGGAGGCAAAACAGGATGTGGGCAACCAAACAAAACAGGAAGGAAAGGAGACAGCAACCTGGAAGGGAGAGAGGGAGTGAAGGAAACAGAAAAGAGAGCGAGATGAATTGGGGAGGCAATGAGCAGGGGGGGACAGCGGGCAGCCAGGAAGAGGACGTCGGAGAGAGCAGGGAATCAGGAGCCCCAGGTCAGAGCCTCAGACCCTGACGAAAACCAGGCGGGCCGAGTACACCAGGTCGGCCACATAGGCCAGCAGGTTGATGGCCGTCAAGATGGCCACAGCCAGGCGGCGGTCCCAGTCGCACACGTAGTAGGCATGCCTGTTGCTGCAGCTCAGATCCCGCGACCGCCGGGGCTGGCCGCCATGCTTCTCGTCGAACTGGTAGAGCGGCCAGAGGACAAGAGCGGTGGCGTAGAGGAGGACGGAGAGCAGGGCCAGCCCCGACAGGAAACTGGGGAAGGGGATGGGGAGCATATTGGTGCAGTCGCCCAAGTTCAGCAGGATGGCCACGGCCGCCAGGATGAAGCAGATGGCGTACACGGCCACGCACCACTCCAGGGCCGGCTTGTCCTGGTACAGGTAGGGGCTGCTGATGAAGGCGAAGATGACGCAGGCCACAAAGGTCTCCAGCACCTTGAGCAGCCCCGGCACCGTGGCCATGTAGCCAGTGATCTCGCCGGGCCGGGCCCGGGTCCAGGCCACTTCGGTGGCATAAGCCACGCAGGCGATGCAGGAGAAGGCGGTGGCGGCGATGGCGTGGTCCCGGGAGCGGCCGTGAGGCAAGAACTGGACGTAGGTGGTGGGGTAGATGATGGAGGCCGAGAGGCAGAAGAGGGCGGCGTAGCAGGCGTAGGTGATGGGGAAGTTGCGCCAGGACAGGGGGAAGCGGGGCTGGAGCCCGGCTAACTCCACTATGAGGATGATGAGGGTCACGGCGAAGCAGAAACACCAGGTGAACATGGACCAGTTACCCATGGGTCCCGTCCAAGCGCCCACGCTGGCCACCAGCGAGAAGGCCACGCAGGTGGAGATCAGCTGCAACAGGCGGAGGAGGCCCAGAGGCTGGGTCAGTGCCCGAGGGGACCCCACGATGGTCGAGGAGCCCAGGCCTGAGGACGACGTGGTGGTGGTCGTGATGGTCGTGCGGGTTACTGTCACCGGCATGGCTGGGGGGAGGGGAAAGAAAGTGTCCTAAGAAGGGTCCAAACCCAGGAATCCAGGGCCCCAACCCTTGCCTCGCCTTGGGGACAAAGTAACATGGAATCCAGCTGGGGGGACCCAGGATGTGGGCCTTTCTGTTTTCAAACCCACACAGTCCCAGGCCTACAGAAATGAGCTGGTCACCCAGGTCTTGGCCCCTTCCTCCCTCTGGGCTCAGGTTTCCCACCTTCCATGTCAGAAGCCAAGAGTCTAGGCCTCAATCTCTCTCCTTCCCAAGACACTCCTTTCCCTGCAACCCAACTACTGTAAAACCACATGCCTTTCTTCCCACTCTAGACACTCAAAGCTGCCCTCCTTGCCCCAGGGGGTCAGCAACCCAGCCACTCAAGACTCTGCTCTATAGTATCCCTCTCCTCGGCCTCCCCCCACTGCCCCTGTCGGAACAAGAGGCCCTGTCTTCATGAGCTCTTAAAAACCCATCTCTCTACTTCTTCCTTTTCGGTACTCAGTGCTCTGCATCCCAGCCCCTGGGCCCAACTTCCTTCTTTCACCTAACAGGCCTAGACATTTCCAGCCTCCAAACATTCAAGAGTCCAACCTCCACACGCCTATGTTCTCAGGGACCCACATCTGATCGGAGCTTCCAGCCTCCCAATCTGTCTCCTCTCACTGAGCAGGTGTCTGCTCCCAGCTCCTGGAAGACTAGGAGCTCCCCCTCCCTTCTGGAACTGGGTCTTCCCTCTCAGCAGCATCCCCCTCCTATGCCTACCCTCCCACCGCAGAGACAGGAGTCTGCGTCTTCAGTCTAACTCTCACCTGGGATTTAGGTCTTTAGTACTTCGACCCAAAGGAAGCTGAGCTTCCTCCTGACTATCCCCCTCCTCCATGTGGACTCCAGTGCCCCTCAGGAACCCAGCCAGCTAGTTCTCCACCTTCCGGGAAACTCAGCTCCCCAGACTGACTGTCCAGTGACTGGGCCCCTTGCACTGAAATCTCTAGGCCTCTCCTGCCCAGTTATATAGTTTCAGACCTCAGGTCTCTGGGTCCTCAGCCGTGAGCATGCCAGACAGCTATACTCTGGGAAATGAACTTCTTTCTTCCGTCCCTCCAGAACCTCTTTGTCCTAAAGACCCTCAAGAATCCAGGGCCCAGCCTCGATTCCTCACCAGGAATCGAGGAGCCCCTCAGGCGCTAAAATGGCTAATCTCTCAGCTGCTACCCTTACAAAGCTCTGAGGGCCTCTCTCAGCCACGGGGAAATAAAACTTCCTCCTTCTAGTGTAGGGCACACAGCAGGGCAGTGTAACAGGCTTTAACCTCTTCTGGGCCCAGCCATACCTGCACAACAGCTCCCTGAGCACACGGGAGCCCGGCTCCCGGACACACTTCTTCCTCAGATACACAGGTGTCTGGGCCTCTCCTTGGAACCCAAGCTTCCAGGTCCTTCTCTCAGGATCGAGGAGTCTAGGCCTCTAGTCCCCTCCTCCCTCTGACCCAGGAGTCTAGGCCCCCAACCACTCCTCCCTCAGACCCAGGAGTACAGACCCTCAGACCTAGGAGACCAGGCCCCCAGTCCCCTGCTCCCTCAGACTCAGGGGTCCCGGCCCCCAGCCCACTCACCAGCGGTCGTAGCTGAGGACCCCGACGGAGAAAGATCCGGCTCTGGAGGCGGATTAAGTCAGACACCTGGAAAAGGCTAGTCAGAGCACGGGAGAGAGAGAGAAAGAACGTCAGCGTCCAGCTCAGACCCGGCTCTGCTCTCCCGGGACCCAGCCGACTAGCTGGCCCGCTGCGGGCTCGCCCAGAATCGGCCGAGGGTGGGGTTTGGCCGCGAGCCCCCGAGGGGTCCGAGAGGTGACCCCAGGGAAGCCCTGCCCCTTTCCTCCTCCTTTCCTCCTCCTGCCCCCAAACTGCGGGGGCGGGAACGGAGCGAACCTGGCAAAAGTGCACGCCCCGCAGGCAGGCGTGGGCGTGAGTGATCCTAACCCTGCCCGGCCAGGAAGGCCACGGCCGGGCGAGCGGGCGGTTCCTGGGCGGTGGCTGCGGAGGCGGGCGGCCGGGCGAGGCGCCGCGTCTCCGTGCCTTATAAGGGCTTCAAGTCGGCCCAGCCATCTGGAATGTGGCGGGGACCGGGAGGCGGTGCCGGGACCCCCGCCCTGCGCCGGCCTCCAGGACGGCCCGCCCAGCTGGTGGATTTCGG